TCTTTCTCTTCCATCCCCCTCTTCTCCCTTTCCCCTCCTCTCCCATCCTCCTCTTTTCCTTCTCTTCCATCCTCCTTCTTCTCTCCCTTCCTTCTCCTTTTCTCTCATCCCCCTCCTTCCTTCCGCTTTCCCCCTGTCTTCTTTCCTTCACACTTCAGCCCTTTTCGTCCTTCCATTCCCTTCCTTTTCGTCCTTCCATCCTTACACCTCCTTCCATCCTTAAACCTCCTTCCGTCCTTCTCTATCCCTTTCATCCTTCTTTCCTTCCATCCCCTCCCCAACTCTCCTCTTTCCTCTTTGTGTCTTCCTCCCTCCTCATTATTCTGCCCTTCGTATTTTTCATCTTATCTCTCCCTCCCTCCCCCACCACCTCTCCCTCACCCCATCACTATTCCTCCCTCCTCTCCCACCACCTCCACCACCTCTCCTCCCCATCATCACTATCCTCCCCTCCCTCCCCACCACCTCTCTCCACCACCTCTCCTCCTCTCCCTACCTCTCCCTCCCTCTCCCCACCACCTCTCCCCCCTCCTCCACCTCTCCCACCTCTCCCTCCCACCACCTCTCCTCTCCTCCCTACCTCTCCCACCCTCTCCTCCCCACCTCTCCTCCTCTCCCCCACCTCCCTTCCTCCCCACCACCACCTCTCCCCTCTCCACCTACCACCTCTCCTCTCCCACCCTTCTCCCTACCCACCACCTCTCCCTACCACCCCTCCCCTCCCCTCTCTCCCTGCCTCTCCTCTTCCTCTCCCCACCACCTCTCTCTCCTACCCTCACCCCTCCCTCCTCCTCCTTTACCACCTCTCCCCACCACCTCTCCCTCCCTCTCCCCACCACCTCTCCCCCTCTCCCCACCACCTCCCTCCACCTCCCCCACCCACCTCTCCCTCCCTCTCCCTACCTCTCCCCTCCTCCCCTACCACCTCCCTCCCTCCCCCACCCTCTCCCTCCCCTCTCCCCACCACCTCTCCTTCCCTCTCCCACCTCTCCCCCCCTACCACCCTCCCTCCCTCCACCACCTCTCCCTACCCACCTCCTCCCACCCACCTCCCTCTCCCCACCACCTCTCCCTCCCTCTCCCTCCTCCTCACCACCTCCCTCCCACCTCTCCCTCTCCCCACCACCTCCACCACCTCTCCCTTCTCCCCACCACCACCCCCCTCCTCCCACCCCTCTCCTCACCACCTCCCTCACCTCTCCCCTCCACCTCCTCCTCACCACCTCTCCCTCACCACCTCCTCCCTCCCTCACCCACCTCTCCTCTCCCTCCCACCCACCTCCCTCACCACCTCTCCTTCCTCTCCCCACCACCTCCCCACCACCTTCCCCACCACCTCTCCCTCCCCCTCACCACCTCCCTCCTCTCCTCACCACCTCACCTCCCTCTCCTCACCACCTCCCTCCCTCTCCCTCTCCTCCTCTCCCTTCTCCCCACCACCTCTCCCACCACCCTCCCTCCCTCTCCTCACCACCTCCCTCCTCACCTCCTCACCACCTCTCCCTCCCCTCTCACCACCTCTCTCCTCACCACCACCTGTATAAGCGTCCTTGCATCAGTCTTGTTTCGTCATTCATGCCGTTCACCCAAGTTTATCTCTCACCTCCCTTTTGTTTCTCCCTCTTATCTCTTTTTGCGTTTCCTTTGTCTCTCTCGGTTCTCTCCCCACTCGCCTCTCTACCTCTCTCTCTCTCTCTCTCTCTCTCTCTCTCTCTCCTCTCTCTCTCTCTCTCTCTCTCTCTCTCTCTCTCTCTCTCTCTCTCTCTCTCTCTCTCTCTCTCTCTCTCTCTCTCTCTCTCTCTCATCGCCTCTACTATTTATGTCTGTTTCTGTATCTTTAACTTTTGTCTCTTCTCATCCTTTTCTCTTTATCCTGCTTAACTCTTTGTCTCTTATCTCTCTCCTCTCCTTTGTCTCTCCTCGTCTTTTCTTTTCTCTCTTGCTTATCTCCGTCACTTCTCATCTCTTTCCTTTTCTCCTTTATCTCTCATCTTTTCTTTTCTCTCCCGTTTATCTCTTCGTCTCTTCTGTTCATCTCACCCCTTTGTCTCTCCTCTCAACTGAAGTCTCCATTATTCTTCATTTCTCGATTCTATTGTCTTGTGGTGTCCTTGTCTTTGCATTTTTTCCTCTTATTCTTCTTCTTCTTCATCCTCCTTCTCATTGTCCTGTGTCCTCCAGGTCTCTTTCGCATCATCTATAAATTCTTAACCTTAAAAAAAAATAGAAAATAAAATAGTGATAATAATGTACATAAATAATAGGAATTGTCGTGTTGTCGTGTCTTGTTACTCACGGTTATTAAAGGCTGTTGTTATTGTCGTTTTTGTTGGTAAAATAGAGTACTGATGTTATTGTTATTTCTTTTGTTATTGTTATTGCTTTTGTTATTGATTTGTCATTGTTATGGTTGTTTTTGTTCTCGTTATTATTATTTTGTTATTGATATTGTTGGAGTTATTGTTATTTTTTTATTATAGTTGTTATTATCGTTATTATTATCGTCGCGCTTTATCGGTAGTCATTAATATTGTTAGTACCGTTGTCATTATTGCTGTTGTCATCATTACTGTTATCGTTATCAGCGTCATTATCAACATCATCTACAAATTCATCATCATCATCGTTATCACCATCCGCCCTTTGTTCCTGCATAAATTAATTTGCTGGGAGTTTATCAGTTCCTGTGTTGACATTTTACAGGATGGTAAATATTCTTCGTTTATTCAGATCAACAGACTATTAGGCATCCCCCCCCCCCACCCCCTATTACCCCAGCTTGTTATTTTACCGTAAGATTAACTACCCTAATGCTAACCTAATGTAACCACACCCAACCTAATCTAACCTAACTTCAGATAACCCAGTCAAACCTAACCTAACCTAATCTAACTTAACCTAACCCAGTCTAATCTAACACGTCCAGGTAGTGTTAGGGTGGATAAGCATCAGGTGAAATAAGTTGGGGGGCCTAATCTGTAGGTGATTCAATTAGTCTCCCTTCGAAAGTAAAACCCATGAAACTCGTATAAATAACAACAATGAAATACGTATGTTTGTAGCAAGGGGTTGGGGGTCTGGTGTTGAAGCGTGTTGACCTTCGTAAGACAACTACCGGATAAGCATTGGGCGGATCAAGATGTACAGTTATGGAAACCTTGAATAGATACAGTACAGTATTGGCCTTAGTTCTCCTGATTGACTGTAGATATGGGAACACAGACGGTTGCTCTCGACCAGAACGTGTGTAAATAATAACATGAAGTAAGGGATCTCATGACGATTAGGAACTCCGCTTATTTCACCTGGTGACTAAACACCCTAAACCTAACCTAACCTCCCCTTTTGGCATTAGGGTATTTAATTATCAGGTGAAATAAGCCGGGTTCTTAATCTTCATGAAATCCCAAATAAGTTAGTAACGTTGTTTAGGGAACTCTATATCTGCAAGGGATACTGTACAAATCATCCATCTTGTGGGAATATCGATAATTTATCAGGTGTGGGGCAGCAGCTGTCCTTTGTGTCGTTCTGGGGTCATCAACCACCAAGCCACTTGTGCAACACGTCTGAGGAATTGGCACGTTGTCTGACCCCTTTACGTTCCAGTTTGTGATTAAATGTATTTATATATATTCTCTGTAATTCTGCCTCAGTTCTTCTACACTCAGTCTCATTTTAATTTCTGAACATTACGCATGTCACCTTGTCCTGCCCACCATAACTAACATCCCATCTCGTAAAACTCGTGAGATTATTTCTGAACCTTTTTTTTTTTTTCGAAAGGTTCCTTGGTGGTCCTTGAGCCCATAGGTTTATACTGTGTTTTCTATTAGTTTAAACAAAGTGTTTCTAGAAAATCGATGATACAATGAATAATGAAAATATACATTGTAGAAATATGGAAAATGTACGGTGTTATATTGTTGATAATTATATATTACGGAAAATTTACATATTGCCGATAATCAAGAATGTATACTGGTGAATATTGATGAACATGAATAACAAACAAGACCACAGTTAAGTGATATAGAACGTTATACATGAATAGTGAATTAGTCTCGTAACACAAGATATATGAAATGAGTTACGGTACTTTAAAAGGTACAAAAAGTTATCATGTAATCAGCACTTTTTACTACAGCAGGAGTACTTGAACACTTCATAAATATTTAATTACGTATTAAAACAGGTTATTATTAAGTTAGAAAATATCAACACAGACACTTAACGGAACTATAAATAAACAAGAACTTTATCGATAGTTGCACTTTACGTTGTGTGTGTGTGTGTGTGTGTGTGTGTGTCTCAATCAGAAAACAAAATCTACAATGTAACCCCAAAGTAAAATGCCATATAATTAATCTCAAAGTAAAACGTCTCTGTTAACATTTAAATTATTAAAAAAAAAACAGTATATCCAGAGAAGATTTATTCCTTAATACAGTCTGAACTTCAACATTATGAAAAACTTAAATGATTAATTAAGAAACTACATAAAATTTTTGGTTAGTATAGTACAGGTAACTAACGCTCCCGTCTGCCGTGTTCCTTATCAATAAATGAGATCTTTGAAAGTGGCCTTGATCAAATATATCGAAATTTATGTCATTTCCTGTTACACGTGTTACTAAAACTTGGTTAATGTGTTGCTGCCTTGCTATTATTATTATTATTATTATTATTATTATTATTATTATTATTATTATTATCATCATCATCATCATCTTATATTTAATTCGTGATTTGGGGTTCGACGTATTAGCTCTTCATATTACTGCCTTCATATCTTGCTATATTTCCCAATCATTGTCTGTTACCTTTTACAAATGACTGGGTATTGCCATTTATACCCAATCAATGTCTGTTTCATGTTACAAAGGGATGTAGTATTGCCATATACACCAATCAGTTTCTGTTTCATATTGCAGGGGTTTTGTATTGCCATATCTGCCAATCAATGTCTGTTGCATGTTACAAGTGGTTTAATATTACAGATGGATGGCTGTTGTGTCGCTGCAGGTCATCGAGCCAACATAGGTACTTTAGATATCAGCCGTTTCATTTCTGGTCTCTCGAGGATTTCACCAACATGAATAACACAGAACACACAGTAAGCTTCCGTCAACTACTAAACACCACAACATAACGCCAGAGTAAGTAAATATTTAAAATCATCTTCTCCCAATTATCAAACCAGTAAATATGTGTCAGAATTGAAGTATTATAGCCCGGTTCTTCATACTCAGCTACCAATGAAGAAGTCAAAATGTCTGAAGGTATACGTGGTTCATCCCCGACGTCACCTGGAGCTTATTGAAGAACAGGAAGTTGGTTTGACGTCATCCTCCCTGATCATTGCTCCTGGATATCTGCCCCGATCATTTAACAAGAGCTACGGTAATCAACACCAGAAACCCGATGTGAAGTGAGAGATTTTATGCCTTCTGTCCTCACTTTTAAACCTATGTTCTCTAAGAAAGTCACTGTGAAAAAGAAAATAATGGATCACTTGAAGATTAAACGCCCCTAGTTTATCTTAAGATCACTTACCTTAACGCTAACCTAACCCACTCACGTATAGCATTAGGGTGTTTAACTAATAGATGAAGTACGCTAAAGGGTTAATCTTAAGATGATCTAAAATATAAGTAAGCAGATTTTTTTTACTGTGATGGGTCGGTGAGTGGGGGGGGCACCAACCTATCCTCCCAACTCACTCCAAGAAGAGTTAGTAGTAGATGTGGGTGTGATAAATATAGTGCTTGAATCAAACCCACGATTTGGAACTCTTAAAGGCTGACCTTGAGCTATATCTCTTGAACAGTTGGTAAGCTCCATGTGGGTGATGCTGACAGGTGAGGCGGCAGAGGTAAACCAGATTAGGTGGGACTGTGTTGTGGGAGTACGATAGCAGAGCGAATGCCATAAGATTATAGTTATTTAAGCAGGAAGAGGTGTACGTCCTTATTTATGTCTATAAGGGGTTTAGTGGGCTTAGCATGACATAGGAGGTTGGTATACAAGACACGATTCACCATTAGAGGTAAAAGGACCATTTATGATAAAAAAATTATTCTGGGAAAGATTTGTTTCCTATATTGCTCCACTCATAATATTGATCTGTACGTTTGTTTCTTTAATATATTGGTGAATGCTATGGAGCTATCGTCTGTAAACTATAGGTTTTGGGTTAAGTTGGGTCAAGTCATTAATTGCCTTTGGAGTGATTTTTACCCTTATTTCCCGTCAACTCAGCGTGTCAAAGACTAGTACAATATATATTTGAATTTGATTACAGTATTTAAAAAGTATCTTAACTTTAGGTAATATAAATTGTCTTGATAGTGACTAATTAATACGGATTATAAGATAAGGATCACCTGAAGATAAGCCCCCAGCATATTTCACCTGAGGATAACCACCCTAACGCTACCCGGAGAGGATAAGTTAGTGTTAGGGAGGTTAATCTGAAGGTTAAATCAGCAAGGGGGGCTAATCGTTACGTCGCCCAAAAACTACAATTTAAACATCATAGTCTTCACGTTTAAAAAAAATAATGTATCTGTAGAATCACCTGAGTACTTTGATCGTCAGTGTCAGGTCGTACATGACCAATGACGAGAATTACGAGCAGCGCTAAAAGGACTGCATGCCTCATTGGTCACACCTCTTGGACGACTGATGATATTAGCAGATAATTGACTGATAGGTGATATTACACACACACACATACACACTTTAATAATAACTTCCTTGCCCTCCAAATATCAGGTTAATGTTCTCTCTCTCTCTCTCTCTCGTGGTTCAATAATAACTTCCTTTCCCCCCAATTATCAGGTTAATATTCTCTCTCTCTCTCTCTCTCTCTCTCTCTCTCTCTCTCTCTCTCTCTCTCTCTCTCTCGTGGTTCAATAATAACTTCCTTTCCCTCCAATTATCAGGTTAAACAGACCATATCACAGACGGTCATCTCTCGCCGATATTGCTTACGTATACACTTCACTCTGGTGTATGGTGAGGTGTAGTGCACTTATACAGGGTTGTAGGTATGCAGACTGTACTTAAAATATATGCAATACCTAGTGGCCGTCGAGTTGGCATCATCAATGTGCAAGCGTTGCCATCACACTACCTCATTTATCAGTTTATTTCATTAGTTCTTTTTATATCAATGTCAATTAAATAGTTTATATTTTACCCATCGGCATAATAGTTTTATGAAATGGAGTAACTCTGATGTGCAGTAATGTGATAAGTCTTTTAATTATTTAAAGCTCGTTGGCAATATCCTTGTTTACACTTGCTTGAGGTAAAATCCCCCAAGATGTGCATCTTGCCACCAACACATTCATAAACTTGACTAACAAATATATTTAACCTTTTGGTGTAAATGTGAATATCAGGACACTAATTCACTATTGAAATTTATTATATCATGAAGAACTTAATGAGTTTGATCTTGTTGAAACACCTGGCGACGCTTGGCAAGGCTCTGCCAGGTACCACGTGACCAGCTCGTCGCTGATATGATGACGTTAACCCCAATATAGCGACCTTGTCTTCATTCAAGCACTAAAGTTCTCTAAAGTAACTTACGTTAAATGTCGAGGTCACTGACAGTAGCCAAGCAAGACGCTACGACCGGGGCTTGATGATATTACCTTGTAAATAATGACGTTGGAGAAATATATAAATTAACAATAGATGTTTTTCTTCGTGGCTGTGATGTACGGCAGTCTTGCCAGCCTCACCTCTCATCTGTTAATTAAAATAAATATATTTCATAGACTTTAAATGTATCGTCATATGGTCTCTGATTACAGTGTATGCTTAATTATATTCAACAAATTATACACTAAATGGTGTAGCTAATGATTCAATATGTAAAAAAAAATATTCAGAAATGTAAAAGGTAAGTGTCCGCTGTGGGGTCACTATTAAAAATAAGTCTTAAAAAGTAAAAATCATGATAAAAATAATTTTTGATTATACTAATAGTAACAACAATTGTAATAATGTAATTGAAAGGAAAGGCAGTGATAATTGTAATGCAGCAGAATATCTACACACAGCTTCGAAAATAATTATTGTGTACCAAAATACATGTTAACAGTAATAACTACAGTGCCGGGTGGTGCTTTTTGAACAGTTGCGGCCGTGACCATTTACCCCCAAAAGCATATCAACCTTACAGGGTGCCACGCGAAGATACTACTGTATTATGGCAAGATTGAACGTGGCATTTTTTTATTGGATTTTCAAGATCTTTTGCCCACATAATTATATAGTTGGATAAATACAGACGACATTGACTGCCCTTCTCAAGCTATCCTATCGACATTAGTCACAATATTTCATACTGCCATTCTCATAAAGCTTCACCAGGTCACGTGAAGTTGAACCCCGAACGTTATCCTAACCGAACATACTTAGTATAACGTAACCCCCTTCCCCAGGTAGCTTAGGGTGTTTTAATCCAAGTATAATTAGCTGGGGGGTTAATCTTCAGGTGATTGTTTGTGTTAGCTCCCGTGAACGTCACCTCCATCTTATGATGTTTAAACTTACTCATTAACTTTGAGTGCGTCTTGCTATCACAGGCGCCGTCTTCATGTCGCTGTTTGTGTTCCCAGTGTGAGGGTGGAGGCAACGTCAAGCTACTTAGGTATGACAGTGCCACATTTAAGATCATATACATACACCCAAGAGTTATAAGTCAAACCGGTCTAGCCAAACTTATTATACAGTACATTGAAAAATTGGGACTGTGCCAATTTGTGATGGTTTACTTTGGCTGAAACCTTTTGTGACTGGAGACCCGATATTATTGGTTAAACTGAGGCCCATTTGACAAGTGACCGTCTCTATACCTCGTCCTACCTTGAACACTATAAACAGGAGAAACACTAATGACACACCACAATACAAGTGAAGTAAAAGGTTACTAGACCAGTCAGGAACTAATACTTTCTTGTCAATCATGAGGTGAGTGAGAGTTAGACACCGCGTCGTGAATACTCCCCCCACCCCACAACCCCACCCCACCCACAATCCCACCCACAATCCCACCCACAACCCCACCCCCGTCACCGGCTGAATATATTACGAGTCGCTTCTCTACCTGTCGTGTCATATCGCTTCTAGCCGTCCAAATAATAGTGATACTCTCTTCCAGTACACGTCTTTCCCCCTCCGTATACCTGCAGCTCTGTATTATATATCAGGGATCAACGCTAAAGACTTCCATGGTGGCGGCTGGCGATGGGGTGTATTGTCTCAATGGCCTATGTTTACAAGACCATCAGTAATCGGTCAAATGTGCATAATTCTTATCAACCGACATAACAGCTACTATCTGGTAACTATCTAAATATTTAGGACTAATTATCGTTCATCACTAATAAATCGGATAGGTACAATGTTTAATGTTTAGGACTCAAGTACTGGGAAGTGAAAATCATGTAGAGGGACTTATTCACTATTGGATGGATTTCTGGGGTACTTCGGGGGTGAATCAGTGACCCTTAGGACAGGAGGCCAGCGTTGTATCCACTGGTTAAGTGACTCCATAGCAACAGAGGGAATGTGAAGGAAAGGACGACACAAGAAACACTATGAGAACACAACAACAGCAACAATAAGATAGAAAGAGAGAGGGAGATAAGGAGAGGAGGGAAAGAAGAAACACTTGTAACAGAATGTCACTACAGAGAGACAGAAGGAAACTAGAGGCAGTATGACAGAGTAACAAAGAGAGATAGAGAGGAAGGAAATATGAGACGCCGAGATAAAGAGGAGGGAAGATGAGACACAGACAACACAGTATCACTTCGTAGCAACAGAAGAGAGAGAAAGAGAGAAGTAGATAGATAGATAGAGAAAAGGAGACCACTGCATCATTCATTACAGTCGCTCAATATGTAACATGTTCGACATCTTTTTGCGTGGAAAAGTCAGCATTCAAGGACAGGTCGGCCATGATAGCGAGAGTGAAGTGGGATGGGTCAAAGAGGGAGGGAGAAGTGAAGTGGGATGGGTCAGAGGGAGGGAGAAGTGAAGTGGGATGGGTCAGAGGGAGGGAGAAGTGAAGTGGGATGGGTCAGAGGGAGGGAGAAGGGAAGTGGGATGGGTCAAAGAGGGAGGGAGAAGTGGCGTGGGATGGGTCGGGTAAGAAAGAATGGGAAAAGGATGAAGATTAATGCAGGATGAGTCAGGTAAGGTGGAGAGTTGTGTAAGATGGACCAGGCAGGAAGGGAGAGTAAAGAGGAGGAGGAGAAAGAAGGTTATGGAAGATGAATCACATAGGTAGGGAGAGTTACGTGGGATTGGTCAAGTAAAGGAACGAGTGAGGGGGGAGAGGGAGGGGTAGTTATGAGAGATGACTCAGGTAAGAGGAGGAAATTGAGGAGTGAGGGAGAGCTAAGT